TGTATCCCTTTGTTTAATATTCCACTAAGATGTTCACCTCTTATGTCCAAGAGAATAATACAGATGAATTGGTACAGAAACATGTGCAGCACCATCAGCTGGTCATGCATTATTTAGCTACTATTGGCTTGTAAGTAGTGACGCTGATTTCGTATAGTGTCAGTGTCAGTGTTAGTGTATGGGTGAACTCCCAGGCCTCTTTCCTTTTCTCCCTTTCCACCGCCATTTGTATTTATGTAGCAGATCGCAGTAGGAAAGCTAGTAAATATGTGTGGCGATAGTGGAAGAACTTCACTTTGAAGTGCTGTTTTAACAGGACAATAACCCATTTCTTCAAACACAAGGCTTATTTATATTATTTTAGTTAGCGCTGGATTTAAAAAAACATGATGAAAAGCCTCTCGATTGATTCCATCTCTTAAAGCTCGCCCGAGCTCAGATTGTATTCTTTTAATGGCGGGTCACGTCACACCCACTGACTGGCTTTCCCGAGGGTAGGTTACGATTAGGCATCCATCTTGGCGCCCCCTGTGGCCCTCCCAGGTACTTGCAGGCACGCGGTGCTGCTGGGGATGGACCTGCCTCTCCTCCAATCAGTAGCAGCCTGTGGCCCGGGGGAAGTGGCCCGAAGGCGGGCGGGACAAAGTCGTTTGTTTGTACTTCTTCATTATTCCCTGTGTGCGGACGTGAGATTTGCGTCTGTGAGCCGCGACTTAGAAAACACAAAACGGGCTGTTCTTCGAATCGTGGTGGGGGGGTACAACGACATTAATTGGAGATTGTGAATGTTGAGAAAAAGTAATATTGGCTTCTGCTTCACTTGGGCCCCCGATGGTAAAGATAAAGGAGGTGCTTTGCGGTTTGTTTCTTCAAAGCTTCCAGCTGTCAACTGGATTATTTGTTTTAAGCGCTTGCATAGGAAAAGTGAGAAGAAATCAGGCTGTTGTTGACAGTGGACCATGAAGCCTGTTACAGGCTGCACTGGGCTCAGTGTTTGGGGAGCTGTGCTTTACAACAGCTGTGAACATCAAACCTACATTTGATTTCATCACTACACTTGTGTTTTTACATTTCATCCTTTACCCTCTTCATATACATAAGCATGTTGCACTCAAGTAGCCGCAAAAAAAGGACAGAATACAATAATGTGAAGTGACGTTTAATGAATTCTTATACATTATATATAATATAATGATATATAGAATTGCTAATTCCTGTAAACATCAAAAAGGAAATTTCACGGGCCATGTCCACCATGGACATATGGAGGAAGAGAGTCCTGCCTCTTCAGAAATTTCCATGAAAAGAATCTAGGACACGGCTGCTCTTTCTTGAGGAATAAACTGAGTGAGAGAACGCCATACGGTCGTGGATTATACCAAAGTGGTGAACCCGTGAATGTGATTTTGACGCAGGTCGCTTTTTTTGTTTTTAGGGTAGTGGAGGAGAAAAAGAATCGTGTAAGGTGAGGGTGATCTAAAATGGTGCAACAAAACAATACCCAGCATCCTGGTCCTGTCTGGGATGTCGATACTGAATTAGCTGTAACAGGTGTGTCGTTCAGCCACGCTAGCAGGAAAACACTGCAGGGCGAGCTCAGTTCAACAATAAAAAAGTTGGATTCATCCAGGTGCTTTTCTACATGTACTACTTATAAATGCTGTTTTAGGAATATTGACGTCATTGGCGACACGGACAACTCTCAAACAGCATGAGGAGGTAGCATTAATCTAATTAACAAAATACAGATTTATTGGGAAGCCCAGTAAGTGTCCCTTGATTAAATACAGGCGCGTTCCTCTTCTGCTATTAATAGTTTTATTTCTGAGTGCTTTTCTAAAAAACCTGTAAAAGCTGTACACTGGCACATATACGGTATAGGAGCTAACAGAAGCAGCATGGGAACACCTTGTTAATCGAGAAAAGAGGGCTCAGCAGCCTCCTGCGAAAGCCCCAGTGCTTCTCCAGTGATTGATTTAAAGGTTTACGCAGGGCATCCTTGGGGGGGTTGGGGTTGGGGCCATTGTTGGTGGGCTCAGGAGGGAAAGAGTTAACATCCGTATCGGCAGAGTTCGGGGGAGGGGGGAAATCGTGAGCTCGCAGCTTCCCAGGCACATTTGCATCGGAGAACTGTGCTGCTTCTGTAAAAGGCAAACCTTGGGGAATCGCGGGAGCTCCACAGAGCACAGTCCGGCTGCGCGGTGCCGAGAAAGTTAACAGGCTCGTTTCTTTTTTTTTCCTTTCCGCGCCTCGTGGTCCCTGCCCAGGCTTTCCAAGGCTCGGATGAAAAGGAGAATCCGGCTGAGGATGGAGCAGGGTCTCCCACGCGGACGCCGGCCGGTGACCCTCCTCCCTGCACGCCGGCTGATGAACCACCGCCGCCGCCTCCCTTAGATGCGTTCTTCAAGAAGCTGGGGAGCCTGTTTCACTTGCATCCGAAGCCCGAGTCCCAGCCTCCCAGGGGCTCCGGCCAGCAGGGCGCCGCAGAGGCGGGGGATGCGGTCCCCGAGCCGGCAGGAATGACATCGGAGGCAAGGCAGAGCGGGGCAGGCTGTGACCCTCGGGCTGGACTGCTGGGGCAGCCAGCCTGCCCGTGGCGGGAGGGGGAGGAGAGAGGGCAGCCCCAGCCACCAACTCGCGAAGCAGCAGCAGTTCCTCCTGCCGGACGCACGGGCTGTGACTCACGTGTGGAGCAGTGCTGGTAAGTATCTTGCTTCTTTTTTCTTCTGTATGGTGTCATTCAGGGGTTTCGCTTTTATTTGCGTGCATGTGGGGGAAAAGATCATTTCTCTTGTCGGCAACAGCCATAAGCAAAATGCTCCGATGCACATGACCAGAAAATATTATTACACATGTTTTATTTACCCTCTTTGGTTCTGTTTCTTCTACCAGACGTTTATGATTCTCTGTTTAAACTGCTTATTGAGGGGGAATCTTTGGTGTTTTTTTTTCTATAATCTTTCTTTGTGATGCACAATCAAAATAACAGTACTTGTTGATAAATTAATCATAGAAGCTAAATAGAAAATACACAAGTGCCTGAACAGTGCCAGTATTGTAGTCTAAACATCAGAGATGAGCCTTAAAGGGCTGGAGGCCTCGCCTTGCAGTTCTGTTTAGACTTGTGGAGTTATCCCGTGGACTAGGAACGCAGAAAGAGTGATCGAGCCTGAGGCGACTGCATGGGGATGGATGACTGAGAGCTCTTTCAGCTGTGAGGGAACACGGCCTCATGTGATTCAGTAGATGGGGAGTAGATTGAAAGTGAAATATCAATCACGTCAGCCCCATGACAGGCTGAAAGTCAGTAATGTATTGTGTTATTTTACAAAATAGAAATAGCTCTTTGTTAAATGACCTTTAGCGCAATCCTTGCTTATGCATCTTTTGGTTTCGGATCAGCGGTCCGGTGAGTCCGTGCCCTGGACTTTTCTGATGCGTTTGAAGACTTTGGGCTAGTGGGGTTAATGGTTTCTGCCTTAGTATGAACAATGAGCACTGATTAAATTTGTGAATTGGAATTGAGTCTTCCATAAAAAATTCACAAGACAATATGAAATCGCAAGACAATATTAAGCACCACCTGCCTGTTTGCATTCAGGAAAGGTTGACAAATAACTGTAAATAAATTTTAACAGAAAATGACCACTAGCTTGTGTGCATTGAGTGCTTATATCTTCATTTGTGCTTCTAAACATCACACAAAAGAGCATTTTCTTAAAGCAGTCATGTGACTGAGTGTTGAAATCTATATCTAAGAATCATACAGAATACTGTGGCCTTTCCTCCTTCCTTAAAAGACAGAAAACAATGTTCTTATTGTTACGGGTCACCACACTCACTAGCGATGAAGCTAGATTATTGAGACAATTCCTTACAGTATACAACATGGTTTTCAACCAGAGAAAGTTCTGGGGATCAATTTTTTGGAGTAAGCTGGGTCCAGACCTGTTTTGGTCTTAAATTATCATACTCTCCCCTTGCTCTAATTAGTGTTTTTTAAAAGGAACCACTCTTTTTAAGTCTGAAAAGCCTGTATTTAATGCTGTGTCTGTGTGCAGATCTGTTATCCTTCAGGAATACGTTCTTTAACAAGGTGAATACAGATGAAGTATAAATGTTGCAGGAGTTTAGAGGTCAGTGTTTAGAGGTTTCATATCACTCCTGTTGAGACCAAAGATTTTTTTTCAGTTTCTGTTTGACTGTCCAAACATAATAGACATAATGTGTCGTTGTTATGCTCATTGTTGTGACTGTAGGTGTCATAACAACACAGGATGAATAGGGATGTTCTTAAGCCGTGTGTAGATATTGTATGGCTTTTAACAACTAATGGCTTTTAAGTTGTAAAATGAAACACAAAGTAGCCCAGATTTCTGCACCTCTCAGCTGGAGTCATTGTCTCTGCTGTCATGTCACCATGCTCCTTTTGTCAAGAGATACAGCCAAAGCCTACAGCCAAAGCACATCTGTCCTGAAATTTCATCTCTGCTAAGTAATCCCAGTTATCACCTCCATTTCTGTCTTTTTCTTGTGTGTGAATACATTTGGAATTAGCAGAATTCTTTGTAATTTGTAACACGCTGCCCTTCACTTCAGAAATGGTTCCAGATTTTCCAGTAGTGATCTCTGTTCACTTGATTCTTTTGCATTCGTAACGGGAGGACCATTAATGACATGTGCTGCTTTCTTAGCTGGGGAAACTGATTTTTCTTCTTTTAAAATGGGTAGTGAGTTGCTTCTTTACAACATAAGCAAGTTCATAGATCAATGTTGTTTACCCCTTGTGTAATCACATGCAAAATGCCTGTTTCTAATAAAACCCTAGAGAGTTTCTCGAGGTGTTTCATAATGGCCTTCTTAAGGGTGTCAGGACAACTGAAGGCTGCTGGTGGTTCCCGTTAAACCTGAGCTGCAGCCTGTCCTGAATGGCTGTGTTTTTGCATTTTCCTGCTTCTAAGAGAACCTAAGACTAGCTCTGTTGCGTTCCTTGGAAACTAGAAATGCCTGTCCTTTCTAATATCATAATCTAACCCCCATCCTGGGGTTTCCTAAAATCAAGGAACAATGACTATTAACTCTGATATTATTAAGGAAATGGGCACAGCAGCATAAGAGTTTTTTGGAAGTATACAGGAAATGTAAGTCCACTGGAAGAGTTTGCTGATCATGAAGATTATGATGGCTTCTAGTGGGTTAAGTGGTGTCTGGCAAGATGACACCTACAGTATAAGGCATTGGCCTGACTGATTGTGTCATTCTACTATACTCCCCTGGGCTGTGAGGGAGCTGGGATCTCCAGGGGATTGAATAAATGATTTTATCCAGGAATGGAGTCAGGTGAAAGAATGATTAACTTGGGAACGCACACTTTACCACACTTGTGAAGTCTGTGTCCTATGACCAGCCAGGCCAAGCCTCTTGCTGACACTAATGCGAATTAGATGCAAATTCACACGCAGTGTTGGCATGCAGTCCCTTTCCTCATGCGTGCCAGCACTGACTAAATACTGGCTAAAGCTATGTTTAGACTCTCCTCTTATGCTATGAGTCATCTGTAAATATGAAATTAAATAAATAGGAGCTTCAGAATTAAGCTGATTTTTGGGCAATATTTATAGTTATTTTTGGAACGGAAGGTTACGGCCTTGAGAGAAGCAGTGATATCACTGCTGAGCGAATGGCCTCAATTTATTGTGGACAGGTACTCACTAACAGACCTGCTGTCAATGAGGCAGGGGAGCCCAAGGGCTTGGAAAACAACCACATTGACAGGGAAAATGAAGCCATGTTTTGTGCTGTTAGAAGTATGTAGGCCAAATAATGACTCTATTTACAGCAGGGTAATTAGAGGATGGCCACTCAGGGGATGAGAAGGAGAGAGAGACAGAGAAAACACAGTAAAGTCAGAGATGTTGTGGAGAGATCTTTTATTTTACACATAGCAAGGGCAAAGGAGAACACACACACAAAAACGAACCCTTTGCTTGGCTGGGTGCCTTATTGACTTTAAAGATATGACAGAACAGCAGATCCTGACAAACTCCAGACAGGCTGACCATGAAGTCGAAACAGAATCAAGGAGATGCAGCTAGCGCAGGGGACAAGGAGAGGACAGGAAAATACTGCGTGTGCACTGTGCCACAGGCTTCTGTGAGACTGCAGCCTGCTTTCCCCTGAGCTGCCTGAGGTTCTGCGCCGCAAAAGCAAGGACACAGACCAAGACACAACGACCGGGCCGTTGAAGGAGCTGATGCTGGGGAGAGTATAGTGTAGTGACCTGCAGATCATGTCTTCAGTGTGTAGTTCACTGGAGGGGTCTTAGTTTGACAGGTAATCTCTGCAGATGGAGTCAGTTGCTGTTACAGAGTGTGTGTTCTGCTTCGCTTTTACGTTTAGTTTGTTGATCTGCAAAAAAATCTGTGTATCTTAAAATGTGTGTTTTTATTTGTGTGTGACTTTTATTCCTCCAGATACAGTGTGCATTTTATGTATTAACTTCTACAGAAATGCTCAAATACTAGTCGATAAACTTTGGTCACACCTGTTTCATGGTACTGTATGTAGGGGGAAGAAGTGGGCCTGGGACAGATACATTGGGAATTAGGGCAGTTTTAAAGGTTGGCTGTGATGACATTTTGCAGTATTTACTGTGTGTTTTCTCATTGCAGTTTTCAGAGAAAACAATTCTGACTGTGTATGCCGTAGTAGTCTGTTTCTGGTTTTTAATTCATTAGGTGCTCTGTATTGTTCCAACTGAGAAATATGTGCAGTGGGTCACTGTGTGGCCCAGCCTGTTGTAAAAGAGAAGTCTCTGCAGTTGAATGTTATTTCCAGTTGTCTAGCCCTGGGTGGGGAGGAAGAGAAGACATGCACACCAGTATTTAACTGGGTGAGTCAATGACTGCTGAGCAGAGCTTGGCATTGGCAAGCAATCACAGCCAACAATTTTACTGTCCTTCTCCGGTGAGGGAAGTAATTACTCACTTAAAACAATTGCAGCGAATAAAGGAAAAGAGCAGTAATAATTCTGGCGTTGTGTGGAAGCCAAGCTCAAAGCACTTGCAGGAAACTTACAGTTGTGGGAAAAGCCTTTTGCATTAAGGGAACACAACAGGGTGTCGGTTGCTGTGCTTACAACACAGAGCAATGCTTTTTTCCAAAACCTGTTGCAACAATAAAGGCACAGAAGACCACAGAATGTGATCTTGTCATTTTCTAATTTTAAACCTTCAAAGAATCAGGTTTTAATTACACACCCATGTCTTATGTTTATCTGTGTTTGTTACAACCTGGAGTGCATGAAGTTCACTACTACGTTCACTAAGCTAAGACTTGTTTTTCTCTGAGTCTAATTCACATTGTTCTTACATGCCAAATTTAATATTTCAAAAGGTGGGATCACCAATCTATATATAGAGTTTTACTTGTAAAAAGTGCAAGATGGTGGAATAATGTTACAGTTCTCAGTATTATTGGTATCATAGCATTATATAATGTTTATCAGCCTTTCTTGTAAAATTGTGAGAAAAGTTATGATTGTTGTGTGAAGGTTATCGAAATCTAAAGACCCAGAATACCCACAAGGTTTGTTGTTTCATTTAATGCTCATGCCTTCCGTTTATGTTTTAGTCTGACCTGATCATCGAGCTGTATGTAATGACCACATTGAGGAATAAAAAAACGTTCCTCAAACAGACTGCATGATTTCAAACTTGGTGCTATAGCAGTATCATATTCTTCTATGCTAAGGTAGTGCGCAGCCAAAATGAATATAGCAACAATATTCCAAATTTAGGAAAGGGGCTTAGAGAAACATAATCCATAAAATGTACATTTTGAAAATGGAATATTCAGTTCCACCACTCAGATTCTTCAGTTTTATTTTGTGGAGTACCAAGGTAGAGCAATACAGACAATGATTAACATTTGTGCACTGTGCATGTTACAGAGAAATTCAAATAATTCTTTTGTAAAATTATATTGCACCAGTTATTCATTTACAGGAATGGAGTCTGTAATTGAGAAGCTCAATAAGGTGTTTCAGGATCTGTATGTGCCTACTTAATTCCTTAACGCTTGGTGTAGCTTGTTGTGGCATATATCCGCAGTGTTGTTTCACGGGCTTGTTTAGATGTGATTTTTTTTTAAATAGCTCTACCAGGATTTAGTGTGGCATTACTGATCAGAAATCTGCCAGAACCCTGTTGGTTTAGGTAAGACCCATTTGCGATGAATGAGGAGCCCAGAGATATCAGATCATGCTTTTCTTATTTGGTCTTGATTTGAAATGTAGATAGCCTGCTAAAATCTGCTACAGAACTCCATATACTGTACTGAACCTCATGAAATTGATATTTATTTTTCTTGCCTTCTTGACATGCAGCATGCATTAGAATATAAGTGAAAAAAACAACCTGACAGAGAGAACACTGTGCAAGTGGTGACGTTTCAGTATTTTTCTACAGTACAGCAGACAGCAGGGGCTGATGCAGTTCTTAATGGGTCATTGAAAGGGCTGTAATTACTCTGAAGTCAATATAGACTGCTGAACAGAGAGTGCTAAGATCTAATGAGAACTGAACCTGTTTATCTTTTTCCAGGAGCATTTGGCCACTGATGCTGGATGACTACAAGCCTTATTAAACAGGAACTAGTCTTTTTTTAAATTAGCAAAAGGTGTACAGCGGTTGTTTTTGAGTGGGGATAGAGTTTTTGGAGTGGTGAAATCACTCTAGTAAATGAACCTTTGTCTTTACTGCAGAAAATATCAGAGCACAGTGAACCAGCCCTTGTTATTGTGAAAACATTGTGTATCTTGTGATTTAACATTTTAGGAGCCCTGCCATCATATCCATTCCAGGTGGCTATTTGTTCGGCAGCTGTTAATGAATATTTTATAAATAGGTTCTTGAACTACTTATTGAAGCACTGCTCCTAGAGGAAATCTGTTTGATATGCATGATCTCGTTTAGTCCACGCGATTGTGATTTTCCATTTTAGAGAATACATTCTAGAGTTCAAGCGTGTTAAGATCTGGTCACCTGAGGGGTTTGTTTATTTTTCTGTCTACAGGTCTGTGAATAAAAACATCAGGAATGACCCAGATGTGGAGTCTAACGAAAGCACTGAGGACAAACAAACCTCAGACCTAGACTCTGATGAACATCGTCGACTGGCGCTGTCCTGTCCCCCTTCTGTCACCTTTGGGACCTATGAAGGCCTGAGGCCCACGAAGAAAATGAAAGAAAAACATCCTGACCTGGTGGATTCGCCCGTCCCTGAAGGAAAGGAAGGAGAGATGCTGTTGAGCGTCAGTGGAGACAGGAACATCCCATCGGCAGAAGGGGAGAGGGGCAGCAAGGAAGGCACCGTTGGGACTTGTTATGAAGGGGTTGTTGCTTCTCCAACCCAGAGGTCCAGTTTGGGATTATGCAGCCATGGGGAACCTGTGCCATCGTGTGATCAAAAAGCAACGCAGGGCACTGAAACGAACTCTGATCTGCTTAGGTCTCCAGTGCCGGCAGGGCTGGGCGGCGAATCTCCAGTGGTGAGTGGTTCCGTGTCGGTTCATCGTATAACACGGAGTGCCTTAGCAAGGGAAGAAGAGCCACGCCCGGGCGTCCCGGGAGGTTTAGCTCCGAGCTCCCTTCCTGGAGCTGTTGCAGGCTCCTCAGCAGCCGCGGAGGTGGAATTACCAGGTGAGCAGCCAGTGGCAGAAGGGGCGCTGCGGCTAACCCTGAGCGAGACTCGGAGCGGTGCAGCAGATACCTCAGCTGGGGCCGCGGTCACGATGACTCCTCAAGGAACAAAAGAAGCAACTGAACGGGCAGAAACTCTATCCCTGATGCAGCCCTCAGCAAGGTCACGGTCAGGAGCTGGGGATGCGCCGCCCTGTGTTGCTGACGGCGCCCAGGGAATTGAACGCACATGGCCGCACACTGCTGCCCTCATTGAGCCTGCTGCCTCTTCCTCTTACCAGAAAACTCTGATGGCGGATGGCTTTCAGGATCATATTTCAGACCTGGGATGGCAGGAAGCAGAGGGTAAAGACAGCCCTTTGCTACCTAAGAAAAGAGCTGAGGCGTTGAGGCCTGTCGGCACTGACATACAGCAACACTGTGATTTAAGGCGAAGCGAAAGCGAGGAGGTCCTGGGTGAGGGGACAGGTCTCCAGGAAGCCGAATTTGACAGAGATGCCTTGGAGCGCGAGTCGAAGCGAATGGTTGATATTATTCTCAGAAATGCTTTAGCGGCCCTTCATGAAATAGAGGCCCGTGAGCGAGAGGGCGAGTGGTTTTCAAGTGTAAGTGAGATCAGAGGAGCAGTCCTGCCAGCCGGACATGGTGATGGCGCTGAAGGGCATCGACATGCGGTGGATCTTCACGAAAGGAGTCTGATAGGTCTGGGGGATGAACGTGGTCCTTCACCTGTGTCAGCTGAGCAGACACTTATCTCGCCCATAGCCCACGCTGACGGGGACATTGCTTCGCCTTCATGTTCTGAATCCTTTGTTGGTTCAGGAATGGACATGAGAATTAATCCAGAGTTTGTTTGTGATCACAGTCTTACAGACATTCCTGCTGAAATTTTAAACCAGAGTCAGATGGGCACATCGTTAGAAAAAACAAGTAAGCCACTCATTTCCTATCCAGCTGAGAGACATGAGTATAATGAAGGTATTGCGATGGACTTACCACTTAACAATAACGTCAAACCTATCAGGCCAAGTGTGGGAACCGGTGAACCTTGCAGTGGTAAAACCGCCGATAGTGTTCTGACTCAAAAAGGCAGGCTAATTGAATCACATGAACTCTTGTTACAAAACCGAAGTCCTGTAAGAGAACATGACGATGTTACTCCAAGACAGTGTAATGTAATGACCAACCAGACTGAGTTACCCTCAGTAAAAATTAATAAAGATAAAGTACAAGTACCCCAAGCAGAACGAGACCGTGATTATGATGCGGTTATATCAACTAAAGCTACTGAATTAATCAATGAAGTAATGTGTTTAGCCAAAGCCACAATTGTAAGTGATAAACATCATGGTTTATCCAACTCCTGTAATGGCGAAAAAGTGACTATGTCTCAACTCGACACTGGTGATTTAAACCGGACAATCGATGTGAAAAACACTGTTCAGCTTAAACAAGAACAAAAAACAACTATGTCCACTGCCCATTCAAGGGATAGGCCTGCAGGCAAAACACTGGTTAATGAAACCCAGTTGGCACGCTCTGTCCATCCCAACCTGGCTTTAACAGACAAAACTTTTAAAGCTGCAGAACCTGTCACTCCATTAGACAAAGCAGAACTTTCACAAAGTTCCAAGGAAAAAGTAACCAGAAACGGGGCCCCAGACAATGAGCTTACAGTGCATTCCGCTGCCGAGATCGATTTCTATGGTAATGGCTCTGAAATGAAACCGAATGGCCTTAATAATACCTGTCAGGTAGAACAAAAGAGACTACAGGGGCAACAAGCAGAGGGCTATGCAGATGGGGCAGGTGATCAGAGATTCTTGTTAGTTCAGAGTTATTTAGCTGCTGTAATAGAGGATCAGTCGGACTGTGATGGTAGCGATGATGATGGAAAACACCAGGAGACTCGGCCGCTGCGTGTGGATGCTTCACGTGAAGGGGAAAGACCCACATGTTCAGACAGGCAGAAGAGCCATGCAAGCAGTGGAATAAACCCAGCCCTCTGCGCTGGTAACGAAGAGAGGCGGGCGTGCAACGCCGTGGGTGCACAACATTCTGATCTGCCACCGGTGCAGTGTGCGGGCTCCATTTCTCTCAGACAGGGTGATGACATAAAACCTGCAGGTCTGAGCCCACTGGATAAGAAGGGACATCTGGATGGACTCCTCAGTGTGGGTATAGATTTGCCACTGCCTCCCCTCCTCCACAGGCCTAAGGAATTGGACTGCCGTGAAGGAGCCTTCGACGTTATAAACGAGGAGGAGGAGGTGGGAGACGCGGTGTTTGTGAATGGCTCAGGACCGGCGCTCAGCCCCACGTTAAGGAAATACAAAGTGTACCCCTTTTCCCTGTCCCCCATATACGAGGAGGAGAGTTTTCGGGAGGATGCGAGCATGGAGGACCTGCCAGACCAGCCGCTGACCGAGGAGGACGCGGGGAGCGTGGAGCAGCACGCCTCTTCCATCCTGTCGCTGCTGCAGTCCGTCAGCGAGCGCCTGCAGCTCGGCGCCTTCCGCGACTCCGGGGAAGAACCTCCCGAGGAGCCATCGGCCCCTCTGGAGCGTCGCTTGTGGGATTCCCATCCGGAGGGAGAGTCGGAGCCCTGCCAGGGAATAGGCGAAGAACAAAGTATTCCGACAAGACGGCCGTACGAGATGGAACTTCCGTGCTCAGGGAGAGACATGGACAAAGCCGATTCCTGTGGTTTATTGGGACGGTCGGCGACGGAGTTCCTCAGTCAACCTTCTAAGGAAGAGCCAGAAAATCCTGCAGCGTCATCTGGTTCTTCAGCTGCCGCATGTACTCCAATCTACCAGTATATGATGGCAGCGAGGTCCTTGCCGTCAAAGCCTCGCAGTCAGAGTATCCAGCCTCGTAGCACGCTTTCCTGCTTCAAAGGAAGTGGAGGTCCATCACCTGCCGTGGCTGCAAAAACGGAGGCCCCGTTAATGGTAAGACTGTGAATTGTTAAGACGTACAGTATGCACCACTGCATCTTTAAATCACGGCTCTGAATCCTGTCTTCCTTTCTCTTGTAGAATGCGATCGCCCTGAAAGTCAACCCGAGGCCTGGAAAGGTAGGTGAAGACGATTGTAAAATTTTGTTTTCGAGCATCAGTTACAAAATGTACCCCCAACACACTTGCAGTTGTCAACAGTTTAGGTCAGAAGATGTTGTTAATATCTTGTGTGGGTTTGATTTCACCCACTCTTCATTTCGTGGGCAGTCTGCAGCGTGATTATTGGTTTAAGTCTCGGTATAGAACTGAGGAAATGTTGTCTTGGGGCCAAATATATCCTTTTCTTTTTTCTAAAGTAGACTTTAGGCATACAGTTAGTAACTGTGGCTCCTGTCTTTTGTTGTATCTTTAGATTTGTTCTGTAAAGATAAAGCAATATGTGTAGGTGATGCATGATTTTATGTTTTAGGACTTGGAATCATTAATGATCTTGTACCTGGTCCCCATAAACACAAAACAAAGACACGAGAAGTTCTTTAATAAAAGGATCAGCCAACAAATTTTATTTTTAAAAAGGATTCTGTTGGTAATCCTTCTCTTAGTCTATTTCTTAGGACTACAAACAAGCGGAGGCTATTCAGCCATCTTGCTCATTTAGTTCTTTGTAGTACCTAGAGTACGCAACCTTATAAGAAATCACAAGCAAAGAAGGATATTTTCATAGTATTAAAGTAAAATGTGAAGCAAGTAAGGCCAAATACTGACTTGGTTTTAAAATGGAGAAGCCTGTTGTGGCATCGCTTATTTGTACTGTAGAGGCTGTGATTTCTGCCTCCTTCCTTAAGTTCTCTGTGTTTTGTAAGCCATCTGGAAGTAATGCTGCCCTTTGTCTTGTGCATCAGCTGGTCCTCTATGATGGTGTCAGGTTTACGGGGAGAAGGCACGAGATCCAGGCTGACGTGGAAGACGCTACAGGGATGGTCTTTGCTCGGGGAGTCTCCATCAGGGTAGTGCGAGGATGGTGAGAGATGGTGCTGCTTTTTTGGTAAAAAGTCCGTAGACTCCGCTCTTGATCAAGAGAGGAAGAGGTGTACTTATTTATGCCTCGTTTCTCTACCCAGACAGCTGTGATGGAAAAAGGAAACAAAAAAACAAATCAAGAACCGCTTGTGGGGGAGGCAAACGAAGCTTGGAATAAGCAAGCCATTCAGACCGATGTTTGGGCGAATAAAATGTTTGTCCACCCCTGGTGCCGATGAAAATAATAAAGATTAGAGTTTGAGCTGGGAGTCTCTCACAGCGAACAAGCTCTAGGTTGGCGAGTCAGAGCAAATTCCCCTTGAGGGGTAGTGACGATGTGCTATTTTTCATACCCGTTTCCTTAGTTTTGCAGTGCCACTCGTTCTAGCTTTTGCAAATATTAATTTCTTCTCTCCAGTCCTAGCAAGGTGCTGAACGCTCATTGCTCTCAGCTCACTTGCATTGTGAATTTAATTAATCACATAACTTCTCAATTTTCCACAAATGCAGGAATATGACAGCACATTTGTTTTGTTTTTCTGACTCTGTTTTTCGGCATTTGACTTTAGTCTTGGGGGGAGGGGGTGTTTGTACATGCAGTTGAGTAAGTGCAGTTTACCAGGCTTGTATAAAAAATATTTAGTTTTCATAACCTAAAGCAAGCTGAAATATAGGGAGTACATCTTTATAACTATTCTAGTTCCTATTTTCATCCATTTTTCTAGGTTTCTAGTGTTCTAGTTTGCTGTAATGTATGACTTTGGTGTTGATCACGTGATTGAATCATATGGAATAGATTGTAATGAAAGCACAGTTGTTTTAAATGCTCCATTAAGTTTAATCACCTTGTAGCTGTGAACCTTTTCTCTTCTGAATACACCATGCACACGATTTCCTTTTTCATTAAATGACTGAAGCGGGGGAAAAAAAGCTCATATTTAATGAATGACACCCTTCCATTTGTGTCCTGAGGCCTGTCTGCCGAGACCCCATTCTGCTACATTATTGATGCTGTTTTGTGTGAAAATCTAGTTTTCCTCCAAAAAAAAAAACAAAAAAAACAGGAACCTCAACCTGCTTGTGAGAGGGTTCCAGAGACTAACTAGTGAGATTGAAGCAAGTGATTTCCCCTGCAGTGTTTACTGTAAGCAAACCCCTGACTTTTTAATGACTCCTAATATTTCCCTTCACTGTCCAATATTCACTTCCTTCAGTGTTACACTGCCCTAGATTTATTACAAAAATGAGTGCCTTCTTTCTTAATTACGACTTGATAAACTGCAATATATGGCAGTACTCTAAATACTAATGCAGAGAATGACTTATTGCTGATGTCTACTTTCCCATTCTGTAGGACATTACATTTGGTAGAAGAAGTGAATCATTTAGTGAAAGTAGTGAAAGAAACGATATGCTGTGCCCTCATACCTAAGGGCTCCTGTTCCCCAGGAGATATGTTTTGCTTGTAGAAATCTACCTCCGTACAGTCGGTAGGAAGATTTTTAGACATAGGGTTTCTGCCATGGGGCCTGTGCATGACGCGCGCTTCCTCGTTTTCAGGAGATTCGCTCTGAATGCCGATATGTCTTAGCCGTCTTCTCCTTCCCCGAGTATCTTGGCTTTGCTGACAAGCTATTTGTAACCGCGTTCCTCGCACTGGGATAATGGATCCTGTCATCTCCAAAGTGGAAATCAGACTCTGTAAAAGCAGAGTATTAGTTTTATGGGGGACACATGCTGCTAGGCTCAGAAAGTCACTTTAAAGGAGAATAAGAATGGTTGATTTTTTCTGACATGGGACTGTCAGTGCAGTCTCTGAGGAAAATAAATAGTTTAAGAGTTCACTCTCACACACAAACACGCATAAATAAAGGTGTAATCATTTTGTTTTCGAATAATTCCGAGTGTTTATTTTTGGTGTATCGGCCTGTGACGATCGTCCACGGTTAAGATAGGGAGGGGATGAAGTACCCAGGTCATGTGTTTCTTTTTAAATCTGCCGACTGGTTCTCACTTTCAGGCCATCGGCTGCAGGTCAGCACATGTCTTTTTGTGGCCGCGCTCAGTCGATGTCATTACGTGGTGCGACTCAGTTAAGTTCAGTTCAAAAGCGAGGGTGATTTCCACTTGTTTTAACTTTTGGCACGTCAGGGCTTCCTTCCCCCTTAAAATTCTATGGGAGGAACAAGATTCCTGCTGCTGGCTTGCTCAGTTCCTAGCACTGGCTCGACTTGAAAGGTGTTACGTAACTGTTTTAGCGCTGTCTCGTGGGGGTAGCTGTGAGCTTGGCTGTGCACGGAGGTTGAAAGCATGGGTTTAAGTGGACTTCTGTCTGTTTCCAGCTGGCTGCTGTATGGGGAACATGGCTACCAGGGGCCCTGTCTGGTACTGGAGGAGGGAGAGATGGTATTGAACCATTTCAGTGGCTTCAGAGGAATGGAAAATAGCCCCTCAGTGGTCCATATTGGTTCCATTAAACGGGCAGTGAAGGTATCCAGTTTTTGTATGTTCTACAGCTTGTATTATTTGTTCTGTTGCAAGGTGTACTTTGTAAACATCTCATTCATACTACTTTTCCCCATTCCGAAATTAAAGACAAAAAATAAATAGCATTCACAGTTACATACATGCCTGGCAGTGTATTTGAGACCTCTAAAATCACATCCCTGTAGTTTCTTTCTTGAGGGGGCGTGTTTCTTGCTAGGCGTGTTAACTGCTTCGGAGGTGAGATATGACATATTGACACAGAAAGCATGCATTCCTGAGTGATCCAAAGGCTGAGCTATTTTAAGGTGCACTGTGTAGACAGGCCCACAGCATGCCGCAGTGGTCTTCTAAAAACTGTCGCACATCAGTGCAAATTAGAAAATGCAGCCAATTCAGATCTAAAGGCCAAAAATATCCTCTCTTCTGAGTATTGTCATGCCCTAACGAGAAGACAGTTCAGTTCGCTGAATGCTTTGTAGAAGTGTGCATTGCACTGCTGACAGTGGAGTCAGGTCATATGCACACCATTTGATGAAGTTTCCTCTTTCTCATTTACTTGTCTATATCAAACCTAAAATTGAGCGATTACCATAATACGGTCCTTACACAAAGATCAGAAAATAAAAGCAGCACACTTCATTGCGTTTTGATTTTACAAATATTCTCCATACATTTCTGGTCCTTCCAACCAGTTATTCTGGTTATTATCAAAGTGGATAATTTTCAATCCTAGAGCATCTTCAAACATTATGGACCAGGCATGATAGTGTAGTAATATTACAAGTCTTAATAAATTGTTTTCTTTCGAGTTTAACTGTGGTATGTCCTTTTTCAAGGCTGCAATATGTCTGGCAGCATTGTAGTTACTCAACTTATAAATTCATAGTGCACACGACTAAATGACATGTTTGTCTTTGTTAGGATAACTGCATTCCAGAAATTGAGCTGCATTGCCAGGAAGGAGCTCCAGTGTGCTTCCAAAAGGAAATTGGCAGTCTTGAGAACCATGGCAGAGGGATTGGCCTTGCATCTCTCGCTGTCAAGTCAGGATGGTAAGGGCAGATTTCTCTGCTTTGCATCAGAATTGAGTAAGAACAAGGTTTGATGTTTGTTTTGCAATTGAGAAAATACAGGGTCCCAGGTGGAAAATGTACCTAATAAACAAAGCATATTTCATGTTGTAAAATGTTAATGTTAATGTTTCTTTATTAGCCCTATACAATTTCTTGCATTAGGAATTCGTCTTTTTCACATACCCCAGCTTTTTCTCCATGGAGACACAGACACGCAGACAGGGAGAGAAGCTTGGGGTCAGAGTGCAGGGTCTGCCATTGTACGGCGCCCCTGGAGCACTTAGGGTAAGGGCCTTGCTCAGGGGCCCAACGGAGTAGGATTCCTCTGCTGGCCGCGGGATTTGAACCATCAACCTTCCAGTCACAGGGGCAGATCCTTAACCACAGAGCCACCGCTCCGCCCCAAATAATGTGGGGTCAATATATAAAAAACGAAGACAAACATAATACCAGGCATCCGTGCTTTGACCATGAGCTTGCGAATATTGAATAATTCAGATGTTCTGATTCCGTAAGGATAATGTACTTTTTGTATTTTCAGAAGGCCCATTAAGTCCACTCCCTTAAAGTTGTGTGAAAGCATTAGTGTTGAATCTGAGCACTCCCTAATGCAAAAAGCATACCTTTGTCGAAGAGGTGTTTCCTGTAAGGGCCCTGCGGCTGTTCCTATCAAATGCCTTATCAGAATGCTAACACTCGCAGTGGTGGAATGTAGGAGGCAGTTACAAATATCCCCCTTAAAAAGCCATTGAAATGCAGTTTCCTGGTGACTCACTAAGCAAAGGAACTCCCTCTCAATGTGAATGCAATGCACTCTGCAGACAGGGTCACACCATGGATGACTTCTGGCTTCTTTCCTCTGAGTTTCATATGTTTAGCTAAAATGGTTCTTTCAAGCAGGATGCTTCAAGTGAATGCAGTCAGCAGTACACTGTATTATTGTCACAGTTCAATTTCTACACCCCCTTCATGTGAAAAGGGGTCTTATTTGTATTGTTTTATTAATATGGATTCAAAAGGAAAGCTGCATATTGGAAAACATCCACTAAATTGCATTTTGTGCACATCACATTATTTTCCTAAGCTGTTTATTGCATGCATAACTTGGTAACCAGAGCAATTTGGATGACTTCAGTCCAACTGTGCTTTATTTAAAGGACTAATGTAATTTCAGTCTACACTAATTAATACCACAGTGTAAAATGCACTCATTGTGCACGCTGTTTAAAAAATAGAACACAAGTATAACGTCCCATTCTGTATTTTAATGATATTGCCGAGATTAAAAAATTAATTGTCCATTAAATTGATCTTGCTTTCTAAATTACTTTGCTTAAAGTAGTTTCCTATGCAGTAAACAGATGTTTTTTTTTTCTTCTCTAATGCCTTATTTAAATATTTTATTTCACAAAAGGGTGGCTTTGCTGTAATTGATTTAAATATTTACTAAAATCAGGGGTGCACATCACATTATGTGCCAAGCATGGAAGTAGAAAGCTTTAGTCACAACAGATAGTTGCCTGAGGAGTATCAATGCATTCGTCATTAGGTCACTCATTGGTGTCAAGTGGGTGCTTCATCAGACCATGTTAAATCGCAAAGAGAAGTTTCTTTTGCTGCATCACTTTGACAACTCACCAGACAACATAAAACCTGTTTTGTAGGCTAGGTATGTACCGTACATCTCTGGTGCTCAAGACCCACTGTGTCTTTTGGTTCAGCTCTTATCCAATTGGACTGTTTGCTTAATTAGGCCATTTTATAAATCATTGAGGTCTCAAGCTGATTATAATCCAAGAGGTATCTGTATAATGTACTAGGCTGCCTGCTGCCCTCCAGGAATCTTGGTTGTCCTCCACTGCTGTAGTTAATGATGTTTTTCTTCTGGGGTTTCTCTCCATTGGTTCTGCTAAACAGAACCCTCAGTCTGTCCACAGAATAGGCCCAGCCACCATGTCCATATTGTGTGATGCAGCATTATAAATATTGTTGCATAGTGCCAGCTCTGAAGATTTTTCTCATTGACGTATCTTCTTTTGTTCCAGTTGGCTTGCCTATGATAGCATCAACTTTGAGGGTAATTACACCCTGCTGGGAACAGAAGGCTCTCAAGTACAAGATTCCAGCAGAACCCGAGTCACTTGTGTGAAATCACTTCGTCCTCTGCAAATGGTAGGGTAAAAATTGTGCAGTTTTTTACAAAGTGATGATGGGAAGTTCAAAATCCAACATACAAAACTCTGGCCTCCTGTTTTCTGTTGTGTTTGAACATCACCTTAATCTCATAACGTCCATTAGTATCCTTGAGTCCTTGTTTGTTCTGATGTCGTCTGGTAAAGAAACTGTGAGGAGGTTCTGTATTGTATATGACAATGGGTTCTGTTTATGAAATTCCTTCAAGTCCAGGAATTGATCTGGTTGCTCATCATCTTTTGGAATATTTCCAGTGCAGGACATGTTATTTGTATGAATGAACTCCACTTTCATTTTAATTCTACACTTTACACAATTCTAGCATGTTGTCAGCCTTTTTTATTACTTCCCCACACTGCCTGGAGGAGAAGAAGAATGAGTCAACCTTAATCCCCAAATCTTTTAGATATTTTGCTTTGCCAAGATGAATGTCAAATACCTCCTAATATTTGTATAATTTTAATTCTACCTGTGTGGGTTATCACCAGTGCTCCAGTATCCTCCCAGAGTCTAAAGACATGCTGTCTAGGTTAATTGGTGTCCTTGTGTCCCTTGTATGCATATGAGTACCTGTGTGTGTTCTCTAGCACTGGACAGGAGTGTATCTTGCCTTGCTCCCGTTGTCCAGCAGGTCAGACTTTGGCTCACTTCTTCCTTGTGTGGGACTAGGCGGCTATTGAGAATGGCTCGATCCATTGGAAGACCTTCAGTCAGTAATGTGAAATCTGCACTGATAGGAGGAGATGCTGTAGTCAGCCCTCTCTCCTTTCTGCACTGCAATATAGATACAGTGCATCACCCAGCTGCCTGCTGACAGTGCAGATGAACAACTTGTCCTCTGACCACTTCGATAATGTCTGTGCTTCTCTGTCATACAGGGGGGACTCAAAGTACAGAACCCTATGGATCCTAAGGTGAGGAAAATGCATTTGTTGTTATTTCTGAACTGATTTTATTGTATGCGTTGCTGCTGTTCCCTTTTGTATTTATGCTTATGTTTGCATTTTGCCATGGTGAGCCGACTTTGTCGAGATGTCATTCTTGATGGAAACGCGCCGGGTACAAGTGATTAGCTGACATTGCAGAGGCGAGGTAGCGATTGCGGGTTAATGATCGCTCTCTCCCTGTCCTAGATGGTTCTGTATGAGCAGGCCGCCTTCCGTGGGCGATCCAGGGAGCTCACTGATCATATTCCCAGTGTGGCGGCACTAAGAGATCTGCAGGAAGTGGGGTCACTGCGGGTCACTGGTGGAGTGTGAGTCACCGCTTACTGCTTTCCTGAGCTGCTCTGTAACTGCACCAGCTGCAGCCCCTGATGAAGACAGATGTCACACCATTAGCTGAGGGTCTGCCTAATTAAGACCGTCCATATTAAGACAAGGCACAGGCCTCTATCTGCTTAATGTAATGCTCTTAGCCTAAGGACTTCAGTATTCCATTTGTGCCTCTAGGGAGCCCTCTACCCATGGGTGGTACAATCTGAAAATGTGGTCATGCTTTATTCTGGCTTGTGCGTTCTTTTTCCTTTTTGAGGTGTGCCTGTGTTTTAAGGTGTAATCAACAAGGAATGAGTTTCGCAACTCAGTCAGATACTCTTACTCTGGAATGTTACTCTAATCCAGTGAAAGAAAACAAGGCGCCATTGAGCTGAATAGCAGTGGAACAGCCCGCCTCCCTGTGCAAATAAGAAGGTGGTCTGTTAGAGGAAGGAGAAAAAGAAAAACAAAAGACAATTTTTTATTGACACTTACCCCGTTAGTGAATCTTTCTGAATAATTTTTGCCAATCTCACTATTGAGGAGTTTGAATCTATTAAAACCATTTGCATTCTATATATACACAACTCAAGTTCCTGCTAGCTGTCAAATGTGTGTAAAAAAACAGTCACATTATATTTTATCTGAGAAACATGACAACAGTTCACCGTGAAATCTAAAAAATATTTTTTGTTATATGGTATTCAAAAGTCAAAGGCCAGATCCTTTTAATTGATATTTTCAGGTCATTCTGAATTTTTGATTGTTAATCGATATTTCACTCCCTTCTTCATAAGACAACTTGAACTTTATCCTTCATTATTGGAGAAAAAAAAAGAAAACCAGAGAAACAGACTATTTACATATGCTAGGATAGATCCCCATCGATCCTCAATTTTCTTGGGCATTGTAGGGTTTTTTTTTATAGAAGAGATTGTTGAAGACCCTCACTGAAAATCTGCTGCCTTTTCCACACCCAGCACTGACTCCTTACAGCGTGCACAACTTGGCAGCAGCTCCGGGGGTTCTGTCATCCCTTAAAGAGATTACATTCATGCCATCAGCATGGAAAATAAGCTTGTGGGTGAAGATGTGCCCTACACTAGAGCTTTGGATTGTGAGGCTGGGCGTCTGAAACTTCCCCCTTTCAAAATTAGTTCTGCTTCAGTGTGTCTGACTTCCCATCAGACATGGGGAAATATAAATACTTTCAGATTCTGGTTGCCGTTTTCTGCAGTAATGGTGACACTCTTGTTTTTATATCCTTTTTATACATTGGTAAAGTAACTATTCCATAGGTACCTACCAAACAAGTGGTTAGTCAATCTTTTACTGTACCTGTGGCTCATCTGGTGACTCTGTGCTTCACTTTACTGCACAATTTCCTTTTTGCATTGATGAAATTGGTTTAAGAGGGATGCTATCAGTTAGATAAAGATATTGCAGAATAAGCACTTGTTTTTTGTTTAGCTTTCCCATTAGATGCGCACGTGAGTACTTTGAAGGCTGTGCCGTAGTTATCTCTCCTTCTGTTTCACAGGTGGGTGGCCTATTCGAGGGAGAACTACAAAGGAAGTCAGTATTTGCTTGAAGAGGGTGACTATGCCAACTGGCACGCATGGGGTGGATTGGATAGCACCCTGCTGTCGTTTCGTTATATCCTGGCTGTAAGTACTTGCATGCAAAGTACAGCTTTAGGACTCCCCCGTTTTAAATAAATGGTTTTAAAGACAGTGCTATCCCTGTGCTTTTTTAAAAAAAATGACAAAATATCAAAAGTACAGACAGGATTCTGAAGCAGCATATCGCAGTGTAGTCAATCCCCCAGTTATACTTGGGCTGTAAATCGTCCAAATGAATATAAGTGAAACTGTATGCAAGATGTTGAAAGTGGGCCAGGTTTTTCATTAGCCAGTGACATGACCCAATTAGCTGACAGCAAGCAAGCGCATACGAGACACCACAGACAAACGCTTTACAGAAATAGTTCAAGCACCACCTCCGTCGCAGGTTCCTCTGAAGCTCCAGAAGTTCTTCAGTGGAGCTCTGTCGCAGTTGTAACTTGGTTGTTTGTTAATGTAGCTCGCAAAGCTCCGCCTCTGAATTCATATTTTTGGAGCTTGTGTTGGCTCAACAGCACCTTAAAAATAATAATAAAAAAAAAGATTCAGCTTGAGAGCTACGGTTTATTCCTCCCTCATGGCCCCTTCGAGTTTCCAGGCAAAAGATTCTGACTCATTTCTTTTGATCAGCTGCTGCCACAAGAAAAATCGCCCAAAGGCTACAGCCTCCTTTTTCAGACACTTTTTTCCAGAAGTGCAGCATAACATAGTGGCCGGGTGCCAGGCAGTGTTGGTTTGCAGTTAAGTCTCAGCTATACTGTGTGTATATATATAAAACATCATTTTTGGTCCATATCAGTCTTGCTTTGCTTATTCTGTCCTCAGCACTTTTTTATTTTTTCAAGAATAAAAAGAGCAGGTACGCATAAAAACCCTTCATTTTAACCAAGCAAAAAAGCAGGTTTAAATAGGTTTACAAAACAGCACAGAGTTCTTCCCCATAATGGAACATGACCTCTTCATAAAACCCATGAGGACCTAATAAGATCTTGTTTAATGGCAGTAGCATTCCAGTCGAAAGCATCTGATTGTACGGTATGTGATATGGTTACAGTATGCACATAGTAATTTTGTCCAATTCCATATGCACTAAAAGAGTGCATTTACTCTGGTAATGCAGCCCATCTGTTTATAAGTCTCTGTTAAAAAACCTTATGGAAGGCACATCGATCGGTTTGACTTGGCTGCTGTTTGGCAGCAGTGTTTGAAGCTGTTCTCTCATCTCCCAGCTCACAGAGATTCTTGAAGCTATTTTCATTTTGCGGATTTCTCATAGAGGACTTACGATGACTACAATCGCTCCATGTGTCATTTTTCATCACGGGATGTTTTTAATACTGCATAGACAGGAAAGGAAAAGGCATGCTCCAGATTTTCAGTGAACTTTAAAAATAGGGTCCAGTCCTCAGGGTTTTTACTTACATTACCTTTACTTAATCAAACACTCCTCTACAGGTTGAAACAGGAGCATCCATACAGATCAAGAGTAACTTTCAGCATGATGAGGATGTATACATGCCTGTTAATTTTTGTAAGACTGTTTTTATAAGGAGTATAAGGATATTTTGGTTATAAAAAAGATAAATGATTGATAAAAGGAACTCTTTCCGTTAGAGTTGGCAAGTATCATTACTGCAAAATGAAAGAATTTAATTTAATTTCATTAAAGGGACAGAATTGTCCCTTTAAATTGTTTTTTTTCTCTCTCTCTCAAAAGTTAACATGCTATGATGAAATCTTGAAGTGAAGTGAAGCACAGGATTAATGCTATAAATTAATGTACAGTATAAAATTTAATGTTTTATAATTTACATAGCATAATGTGCATCCTAAATTTGACTCGACATCATATATGTAAATTGAAAATATATACATCCATTCATGAATGCATACTGTGCATATCATTGGCCAAATGAAATGATGCTTAAATCACACTCTGTAATGATCACAAGGATTTTCACTGACAGGTCTAGTTCAGTTCGTACTGATTTTTAATTGGAAAACTGCATTTCCGCTCCTGTTGTTCCTGTAGGACTTCATGGGGCCTTCGGTCTCATTGCTGGAAGGACCACATTCGCCACACGCCAAGGAGACTGATATCTCTGACCTTGACGTGCCTGATCTGAGGAGTCTGGGCCTGGCGGGGGGAGCAGATTCTATCCACGTGAAGAGTGGAGTGTGAGTATGGAGCTCGGTTTACTGCAGGGCTGGGCGAAAGCTACGTCAGCAGAGATCTCTGGCATTCCCCCGGCCTCTCTTCTTCTCAGTTCCAAAGGCGCAGTGCGAGGTAGAAGCAGCAGGCAGCAGCAACACTATATCCTCGCTTACTACACTCCGCCGCATGCTTCCTTGGAGTCCTCTCAGGCCTGCAAGTCTTAACAGGCGGTGAATCAAATTAATGTATCATCAGAGTAATCATGTAGAATGACCTTTGACCTCTGCCAAAGTGCTGGCCATATTGCTGAGTTACTACAGCAAGTTAGAATATTTACACTTCCTTATTAATCTTCCTTTTTCTTCCTTGAATTCTTTTTAAAGCCCCAATTTTATAGGGCATTTAATAATACTAATTCTCCGTAAGAAGAAAAGAAACAGGAAAAAAGCACAAAAAGCAATGAGAGGAGACAGCAGAATAACTCGGTTATAATAAGGGTTTGGAATAATGTAGGAAAGCAAGGAGGCAAGACACAGAAATACAATCCTTCCTGAAGAAGAAGGATTTGAGCCTGGATTTGAAAGGGCTCAGGGTAGTTGACTCTCTGATATCCTTGGGGATAGAATTCCAGAGCTCTGAGGTGTAGCAAGTGAAGGCCCTGTCACCCCTAGAGAGAAGACAGGCTTGGAGGCCAAACAGAAGCCCGGAATCAGATATGCAAAGGTTTCAAGGTGGGGGTAGAAAGATAATGAGTCAGATAGGTACAGAGGTGCCAGGCCATGTAGAGACTTATAGATGAGCATGAGGATTTGAGAAAGGCTGCATCTGATCATTTTCCTGCTGTCTGGGAATGAGCCTAATTAGCAAGGCAGGATAGTGAGCGCCGTCAACTGGGACCTCCTCTCTTGCAGATGGGTGGCGTACAATCAGCGGTGCTTCTGTGGAGAGCAGTATGTCCTGGAAAAGGGAATATATAAGAATCTGCTTGACTGGGGCGGCTCAGACAACACAGTAATGTCCATCCGGCCTGTCCGTCTGGTACGTATTGGCTTGGAAAAAGACTGCAGGTGTGGAGGCTCATTGTGCCTTTAAATGGAATGGATTCAGTTAAGTTCATGCCAGCTCAGTGGAATAAAAGAAATGAATGTGGTTCAGTTTAGGAAATGGATTTACTGTGGAATGACAAGGACGTACGTATGTGGGTGATAAACAAACACGAGGGATTTTTATCTTCCCATATAAACAGTTAATCCACCCCACATGCACACCTACTGTATTATTACATTGCCCTCATTTTTGTGTTTTTGATATTTTTCTAAATGTCATTAAATGTCTGTCTCACACCCCTCTGACATGAAAGCAACCATTTTAAACTTTAAAAACCTCAAAATGTAAGAATTATGAACGTTTTGGACCAGCTTTTGTTTCTTAAGCAATTTATCTTGGCTTGTGATGTCTCGGTAGATTGAGGACATTTTTTTTTTCCTAAGCATTCAGAATTTGGTCAAACATTACTCTATTTGGAAAGAACACCCCTGTAGGAGAGGAGATGTTTTCTATATGTCTTTAAATTCAGTCTAAAGTACTACAATTTCTAGATTTTTTTTTATATACAACATTATGACCTATTATTTCTTTTCAGGAGCCCCTAGGCAGTGGAGAATCCCATTCCTTGGTATGTATCGTGTCTCCAAAAAGGAAAAACAAATGCTGAACTTTTCTTGCACAAAATTCTCCATTTCCAGAAGTTCTTGACAAAACCTATCCCTCCTCAGTACTGTGACAATAAAATACAAATTTTATTTTTGCCTTTTTGAATTGTATGATTCTTTTTCGGTGAACTAGATGGCCCGTTCTGCTTCAGAATTTTTTAAATTTAAATCTTAATTTAGGATGGCATGTTTTACTCCAAAAGTGAGGACCAAGAGGAGGTATACTGATGACGTGAGGTGACATGCTACAACAACTCGCAATCGTACAGTTTACAAGGAATGGAAAATGAGAAGCATGAGAACCCAAGGAAGGTTACAGACGAGAGGGGGCTGTTTGGCCCATCTGTAAATCAAGGGTCCTTCTGTTTGTCTTCCAGCTCCGAGCCTACAGGGCGCCTCATTACCGCGGCAACAGCGTGGAGTTTGAGTCGGAGGTGCTGGACTGCTCTTCCTTTGTTCCAAAATCGTTCCGCGTGATCCGGGGATGGTGAGTATCGGAGATTACAGCAAAGCAAACGCAAAGCAGCACACTTACAACCTACTTTTTTAGCAGAGAAAAATAGAACAAGGCATTTATTTTCAAGGTCTTAGCTATGTAAACCGCCGTTTAACAGCTCCATAAAGTTATGTTCTACATTCATAACCTATCCCTTCTACTCCCTTGTTAAATACAGTCATGACCCACTTATACATTTGCAAAGCAATTTACAACTTTTGTAGGATGTTGCTATTTTAGACAAAATGACCTAGGATGACTCATCAATTTCCTGAGCATTTTACCCAGCAAGCTGTGAAGGATACAGGCAACAGTAACTGTGTGTGAATGAATAGTAATTGTTTAGGAAGCCCTAATAAAACAGAGGATTTTGAAGGATGTTTTTGGGGAGCAGTGATGTATTGTACAAGTTACACTAAGTGTGAAAGAAGCCTGTTTCGGGGTGTGCTACAGTATTTGAGTTCTTCATGACCCTAACTCTGTGCATTCAGTGACTCTTAACTCATTGCATTTTGCCAGCTGGCTGCTTTTTGATGAAGAGGGCTTTGCTGGGAACCAGTTTGTGCTGGAAGAAGGTCTTTACCCTGATCTCACTTCCTGCGGGTGTGTGGCTAACTCCATTAAATCTCTGAAGCCCATTCAGTATGTAAGTCAATAAGCTCTAGTGAGCACTTTCCTGGCTCATAATTCTATAGTACATATAGTTCATAATTATATAGTACATTCCGAATCCAGCCATCCATTTTCTAACCCCTTTTTCCAATTCAGAGTTGCAGGG